ATTGTGGTCTATTAGACTTCTCTCCTTCTTCTCTACCGTGCTCGCAGCTGATAAAAAGGCCCAACCCATCAGTGAAGTGTGGAGAGACAAAGCTACAGCAGCTCTGCAGGACTGTGTTGAGGACACAGACTTGAACATTTTCAGAGATGCTGCCACACTAAATAATTTTCATTTCATTCAATCTGTCACATCATGTCACAACTATAATGAATCTATCTAGAGCCCCCAAAAAGTGCCTTTCATTCTGCTGACAAGAGCGTAGACAGCTCTGCCAGAGCAAAAGTGAAAGCTGGCACCAAGGAGGCAAAGCAGAGACATCAGCCGAGACTGGAGGGAGATCTCAACACCACCTACTCCAAGGATATGTGGCAGGCAATCCATAACATCACAGGCTACAAAAGAAGGAGCGCCCCCACAATCTATGAGGTCATGTTGCCAGCTGAGCTTATTACATTTTGTACTGGCTCTGATCTCGTCAACAAAGAGTCGGGTGTAGAGTCTACTCCACCTCCAGAGGATCTGCCGCTTTCAGCATCGACGGCGGCTTTGAGAAGAATCCTGCTAATATTAAAAAATGTCCAATCGCCAATTTTATTACTGGCAGTTTTGACATATCACTATCACAGCAGTGTTCCCACTTGCATCAAGACAGCCACCATCCTCCCTGTTACTAAAAAGTCTAATTGATCACTTATTTCAATTTGCAAAAGGTTTATTTGGAGTCTCTCAGAGTTGCAGATCATGAAAGTTCCTTCCACCAAGTCTTAAGGTAATTCGTCGAGTAGTTTTTGCTTTATCTTGTTTACTAACAAACAAACAAACAGGGGTGAAAACATAACCTCCTTGGTTGCACGCACCCCTGTCTACATCACTGGCGAGTTGGTGGGAACAATTGATGTTCCTGGAACTCAGTATCACAGATAACCTGTCATGGTCATCACATTTTCTTGAGGACATTCAAGACGGCTGAACTGCTGTGCCAAATTCTAAATTAAGTTTTTCAAAGCATCCAACTGGACTCATCACAAACCCAGGACAGAGTGTTTAAAAGCCCCATCATTGTTTACCCATCCACTGATTGTCTGTGATGATGGTGAGATGAGGTCTCTGTGCAGAAAAGAAGACAACAGCCACCCCAGCCTCAGTCTGCTCTCTCTGCTTCTGTCTGGCAAGTAATAGAAGTATCCAGACTTCAGAGAAGTTTTTATTTCCTCAGGCTGGGAGGCTACTGAATTCATCCTCCACACTCCAACACAAAGTTGACTTGATTATTTATTCATTCACTAATTTAACTTTTTTGGAAGTAGCACAAAAGGACTAAATCTGTCATTTTGTTACACAAGCTTGTGTTGCATAGTGATAATTAGATTGAAGTTCTTGAATTTTCCTCCGGCTGCTCCATCAATTTGTCAAACACTGTGGACAAAATACCTGAAATACTAATAACATTTTCTGTACTACATTTAAATACATTTGTACTATTATCTAAATAAAAGATAAAAATCAATCCGAAGACTGTTCAATATTTGCAGCTACTGTATATATCTTTAAAAACTCTTTCTTTGTTGTATGCATAGAGTAAATGCCTAAAACAGCTGCCATGGAGCCTGGATGCATGGTGCAAAGACTCATTTCTCTCTGTGGAGAAGCCTGTTTATTCCTAGTATGAAGCATAAGCCAGTGCACATGCGAGCTGATCTTCTCTCAAGGGAGAGCAAGAGGCTGCTGGGGAGATAGATAATGCCATTTCACCAACAGCCGCTGTGTCTGTGACATGACCATCCATCTCCTGTAAGCCAGACTGGATAGCCAGGGTTTACTGAACACATTTCACCGGCTCACAGCAGGAGACAGCTGATCCACTTGGCTCTGGTTCTGATGTGTTTGACCCCTGCCTGGAGGTGACCCCAATCTGCCTGGCTGTGACCAGAGTTGGAGACACAGAGGGGTGCCTCTGGGATTTTTTTTGGAGTCGGGAACAAGATGAAGGCAGGGTCAGCATTAGATAAAGAATGGAGGTAGGAGTGTGGGTGAGGCAGGGGTGGGATATGGGGTCAGTGTTTGGATTATGCAATTGACCTGTGTTGAAATCACACCTTGGTGACCAGGTAATCTGGAACCGACTACCATGTCCCCGCAAACCTTTTTAACATGTCCCTGAGCCAGGCTGCTGTCTCTACATGCTTCAGAGCCACCAATATTATACCTGTGCTGAGGGGGTCTTCAGTGCTGGGTCTCAGGGACAACCACTCCTCATTATAAATGTTTTCAAGTGGCTTGTCTAGGATCATACAACATCCACACCTTCCTTCACTCTTTCCATCACTGCCAAAATCCCTTTTTCCATTAAAGGAAACTGCCCCCCTCAGGAAACCACACACACACACACACACACACAGACATATATATTTATATATATACACATGATTAGAGGTTCAAGTGTAAAGGTCAGACATACTGTTTGTGTCTGGCTGGCTGGGTGGTCTGTAACCTAGCTGGTGGTGGTGGTGGGGGGGTCAGAGTATGTATATCCACCAGAATTTGCTTTGAGAGCTCACCTGTGACCTTTGGTGAATCCCTCTGCGGCAGGACGATCTCTGTTTGATCCCTGTCTCTCCATTCACTCAGACATGTTCTGAGAAGAATACACACTCAGCCCTTCCCTCCCTAAGAGACCGCCATGTCATCATATGTTCACTACAGTGTTCCTACCATTAAAAACCATATGAGCTTGAATATAACAATATAATTGTTTAAGAAATGGTGGTTGTTTCTGTTGTCAGGACAAGACAATGATGAGTTTCTTCATTATAGCAGATATTGTGTTTGAATTGAGATAATCCAAACATAAGCAAGGTCTTTGACATTGTGTTTTTAAGACTTAAGCCATTTAAATGTTGTTCAGTTCAGTTCATCCTGAAAGAGTTTCCTTATGCTGGTTCTGCTGGTCCCACCTTCCACCTTGCACTTCCTCTCTCCTCTTTTTGAAGGCCACTGAACTGTCCCATCAATAATTCACTCACATGCCCGATCTTTCCTCCATCACCCTGTAACACTCTGTAACCTTTCTTCCTCCTTCATAACTCATCCTCCCCACCCTTGTCCACGAAAGATTCACCCGTCCTCCCACGGTCCTGCTTGTTAAAGGAGCAGGTCTCTTAGAAATTACATATTTTCACTATATAGAAAATGTATGTTAATTGTGACTGGATTACACAATCACTCGTGATGATATGTTGTTAATTAGGTTTAATTTTCACAGTCAGTGTAGTTGCTTTCTGTGGTGTCCTCCTGCAGTACACTGCACATCTACTTACAACTGATAAATTGAGTTATTGAGCTATAGTTAATGTATTTTTGTTCATTGACATATTTAACAACAAACATGATCTTTCCTTAAGCTTAATCAGAGCAGACAGGACTGTAGATGGGATTCAGGGATGCTGGTGTGACAGTTTTCTACAGCTTTCTACAGCTGCTGTTAAAAAATCTAGTGTTTCATTCATTCAAAAAAGGGAAAGAACTCAAGTAATCATTGTATTTTCATGAACCGAGTTTAGAAGGATAGTGCATGAATGTTATTTCAAGGACACAAAGTAAATGTTGGACAGTCAGCCAGATTCATCTGTGATCTCAAAGTCCTGTTCTGAAAAAACACTGGTCGTTAACTTTTTTTTTTAATGGAAAATTTTGGAAATAACTTTTTTTAAATGGCTGAATCTCCTTGACTCTGCAGTCATTTGATCCTCCTCACTGTTGCCATAATTATATACTCTCAGAACTGGAATATTGGATTTTGAAGTTCAGCTGAAGTTGAGCTCGCCAATTAAAATCGTCTTCATCCTGACTGCTGTTGTTGAAGTCCTGCTGAAGTCCGCCTCATGGTGCTGTACTGTCCTCTGGTGGTGCTTTTGCTTATTACAACAACCATGACATCATTCGTGGAGGATCCAAGCTAACATAGATTAAGTTAAACAGGCATCTGATCTATAACAGTCCTGCAGTTTCCACTATTTAGATTTAAATAATGGGTTCACTGCTGCACTTGTAAACACATTTTAACTTCTCAAATAAAGTCTTTCAGCTGTTAAGTCTGTGCTGTCAGGGAAGCAGTCACAGTGGTTAAGGTTAAACTAGAATAGACCATAACAACCCACTGCCTGGATACTCTGCTATGGAAACATTAACTGTGATTCCCTCATTTCATCATCACCCTGAAACTGTTTTATTCAAAAGTTCCTGTAACACATCTGTAACATCCAGTGTTTATATACATAATCATTTAGCAGAAAGCATAAATCAAACTTCCCAGCCCAGCTACTCTGTTGGAGCGTGCTGTAGATCAGGGACCACTGCACAATCTGGAAACTATTATGCTGCTTAGCAGTGATGGATCATGTCGAAGGCATGTCCGCTGCTCTGGGTTGTGTCATCATAAACCCGGACAGTGTGCGTGAGAACTCAGCCAGCCTTTCCATAAAAGATGAACTTATCGGGAGGAGTATTGCACAAACACATGAGATGATTTTTGTACTTGAAGTTCATGTTTGTCGTATCATGCAAATTATTGTAAGAATGAAATAATTGAAGGGGGCGGCACAGTGGTGCAGTGGTTAGCACAAGAGGTTCAGCCAGGGCCTTTTTGTGCCTGTGAGGGGATCACTCAATGTCCTCCAGCTTCCTCCCACAGTCCAAAGGCATGCTGGTTAATTAGTGGCTCTAAATTGCCCATGGTGGGATTGTGCATTGTTTGTCATTACATGTCAGCCCTGTGATCGACTCGCTTCCTATCAAGGGTGTACTCCACCTCTTGCCCAATGTCAGCTGGGATCGCCTCCAGCCCCTCTACCACCCTGTGACCTTCAGGAAGTAGCTAATGGACGGATGGATGGAAGAAATAATTGTAGTGGCTGTGACCACATGATTCAACTGGTGCTGTGAGATTTTCCCTAAACCCCACTTGTTCACTTCCCTCTCTCACATTCCACTGTCTTTCTCAGGTCCTTGGTACTCCATCTGAGGACACCTGGCCAAGTGTTAGCTCCTTGCCTCACTTCAAACCAGGTGAGATCTTTTGTAATATACAAACATGCTTACGTACATATTTACTTCATTGATTAATCATCAATTGTTCATCCCTAGAGCAATGTAAATAATGGTGTAACAGGTAACATGGTGCCATGTTGCTTTAAATGCTGGATATGCTGAACTGTTAGCATGGAACCTACCTTAACAACTGCTACTCTGTTCTCAGTAATGTCATTTTAACAGAAATAAGATTTAAAAAGTTAATATTGTATACAGCCTTTGGTGGAAATATGTGTTGAACATTTGTGGAACAATAGTATTTTGAGTGTAGAAAGAAAACACCTGAAGTCTTGACTTCATGCTACGACCTGTGATCTATCAGGGAATTGATTATAAACTCAGTCACCTGACCATCACAAATAACCAATGGGACAGTCTCTGCTCCGTGTTAATGCAGCAGCAGCATCAGGAGTGGGGGTGGCAGCTCTGCCAGGGTAGCCATGCCCTCTGGGAGCTCATTAGGGCTTTTTAGAGGGAACATGAATAGAGACTGCAGATTAGTGTTGGAGCTGATGGAGGGAAGAAGAGCTGGAGTGGAGGAGAGGGGACAGGCGAGGACGGCCATAAAGAGTGTTAGAATAATGGTGCAGGGCAGCGAGGCATCACAGAGCTATGATGTGACCCAGCCTCCTATCTCCAGTGGCCAATTAGGGACCAACTGGGGTGACCCTCGTGGTCACACACATACACAACACATACAAATGTAATCTCTGGTCCCGTGGCCATGGAGACAGTTGGCTCTTGTTAGCCTCTCACACACTGTGTTGAACAGATGTGCAGCTGTCTGAGCCACACACACACACACACACACGCCCGGTGTTTGCCTCCAAGCATTGCATTTATTTATATGGTGTCTGCAGATCTGATGTTGTTGTTATCGACATACACGGAAAGAATGAGATTATCTGATTAAACTTAACCAAATAGTGGTGTTCATAAAGCAGCGTAACCCCTCACAGTGCACAGTATCATATAATCAACCCAGGCACATCATGCAGGATTGTAACCAGAGGGGGAGCATGATGAAAAATGTATAGTAACAGAATCATAATCTGCTGATAACTCTTCAGATTAAAATACCCTGAAGGTTACATTAGGGTAAGAGTGAAGGTCATTCATTGCTCTTGAATTGACTCTCTGATGGTTGATTATTATTCAGAGGCTAATTTCTGAAGACATGCCAGCCACATAAATTTATTGTACAGGTTTGTTTTGTCCTTGATTATTTCCTCTTTTTGTTTCTTTACATTATTGTCTTTGGTTCTTCTTTCTTTAACCTGCTCAGTTGTTTTTTTGTGACCAAACATCATCAAAAATGGAGGTTAGGATATGGTCAGATTCTTAATATGTAATACATCACAATACACATGTGACTTAACGATATACTTTTATCTTTGAATGTTCTTTTTTTAATGTACTTCAAATGCAGCTAGGGAAGGACAAAATGTTAAGTGAAAAAAGTACCAGTACTACTCCTGTTATTCATCTGTTGGTGTGTTTTTAGCAGATTGTTAAGTATTATTCTGAGTTAATGATGAATCAGATATTTTGCATATGTGCTTTAGCATGTGGTGCAATGAAATCATCATGTTATGATGACCCCTGATCCCTGTATATCCCTGCACCTCCCTGGAAGTGCTGGTTGTGTGTATCATTGAGTACTGGCACACACTGAGTACTGCACTAGAAGGATATTATTCTGTATATATATTTAACCTTGAGTAATTTGGGGTAATGCAAATCTGGAACCTTTGTAAAATCCTAATAACATAAGACAGTAGCTTTATCAATGGTTAGATTGACAGAACCAATAAATGCAACACATTGTGGAGCCTGCGTTGAACTGCAGATGGCAGTATAGCAGCAGTGAGGAAACCTACTGAGCTCATGTTTCTGAAGCTCCTTTGAGCTGACTGTTATCTGCACACTTTTCCAAAACCCAGTGACTATATCACTCCTCTGCTTATGATTCATCACACTTCATCATCACTTCTACATGCATAATACTTTCCTTGTTTTTTTTTCACTCCAGTCTTTGCAGTACATCATTAAAGTTTGGATCTCAGACATGTCAGTGTGGCTGGACCTCAGAGTAGAGGCAGCACTTATTTCTCACATTTCTGTGGTTATGAAAAGACTCTACACATTCTTCCTCACATATCTTGCTTTAACTCCACTCTCCTGCCGGACTGCTTTTACAATGCATTCAGAGCTGGACACATTTTGCCTTTAAATCGAATCTTTATCACTTCATCACTATTATCAGTGATGGATGAGTTCCACTTGATCATTACAATTTCAGGGTTTGGTTTTGCTATTAAACAGAAGACAATATAAGTTTATATAAAGATAATGAAACACTAATATAAAAGTTAGAATGAAACCGAACATACAATAGTTAACAGATGAATATAAAGGGTGACTGTGGCAAACCTCATTGATCAAATAGTTACGTACCTCCACCAAGGACCATCAGTGCCCTTATGAGACCACATTTAAATTCACTAGATCCAGATTTTTTTGGGGATCTGCACCAAATTACACACACACTTAATATCAGTCCTCTAAACATGCCTGATTTATTTTGTCAAGATCCATAATTTAATCCTTCTACCATGTTTTGTGGTAGTCCATCCAGTAGTTTTTGCGTTATCATGTGAATCAACAGAAACAAACAAAACAAAAATATAACTTCCTTGTTTATAATTGTTTATCCAACCAACATCAATATCTTGTTTTTAAGAGATAATCAGCATTAATTAATCTAGACATTTATGCACACTGCAGAAAACAATTGCAGGTGACATTTTAACGCTTGTTTAAGATTTTCAAAGATTCAAAAGCAATGTTATGCTAATGCTAATATAACATTTTGTGTAATTCAATCAGGTGTTTTTAAACTATCTTTTCAGGTGTGTTGTATTTTGATGTAATCACATAGCGAGCGCAGCTTCACTGATACGTCATACGCTGCTGCTATGAACACATCAATCCCACCTTTACAAATGATGGACTGGGGGGGGTCGTGATTTAATCTCCTACCATATTGAAGCACAGTTTCAGGCAGAGTTTCAGGTGGAGGGAGACGCAAACATCACAACATTCAAATCATGGCCTGCAGAAATCAAACATAACCTGAAATACATTCTTCTACATCAAATACATTCTTCTACCACTAGATTTTATATTTGGTATGTAAATTGAGAGAATTAAATGTAGTAAGAATACCAAAAAGCTGAAAAGTGCATTTATTATTAAAGGATTTAACTTTACGAATACTGAACACACACACCAACTGTATGTTGTTTTAATAATGGCATTGGTAATGGCTCAATCTGACTTCATAGTCGGAGCCATGTGAGGACTCTGTCTGGCACCCAGGGACCTGTGGTCAGTTCAGGCTGCTCCTGGCACTGAACTGGTTGACTGGACCCACTGTTGAGTAGCTGGCAGACTGGAAGTTGACGCTGACAGACAGTTGGATGGTCGGCTAGTCGGATTAGGCTGGCAGTGTAAGAGGTGGGCTAACTCGCTGGGTGGCTGGCTAGCTTGTATGGAGGCTGGTCAGTTGGCAGCTCAGCTTGACAGTGTGTCCACATGGCAGTTTTGGCCGAGACGGAGAGAACAGTGCAGCATAATAAACATAGGAAATATGGAGAAACTGCCTCACAAAACTCCTCTCATGAATGTGACAATTTAATGTGGTCTGGTTTTTAAAGAGATGTACACAGCTCCCTCTGAAGCATTTCTCAGTACATATATGCAACCCTTCAATTTCTCCAACGTATGCATGAAGTTGTTAAATATTTGATCATTTGTTTGTATGTTTATCCCATAGTTTTAACTTTGTAGACAATGCGACTTTTACAGCAGACATTTTATTTTGTGGCAGCAGAATGTGTAATTACCCAGTAAGGTGCATTAGAGTTAAAACAGTGCAAATATAAGATTATTGTAAGATAAATGGAAACAGATGAGAAAAGACTGAGGTTATTTGATGTTCAAACAGGAACTTTAGTCTCTTCCTCAAATAGTTTCCATAGATTACCTGTGATCATTAATGAATGAATGAATGAAACCTTTGACATTTGGCATGGTGTCCTCCTGATGTGCTCCCCCTGCAGCACATGTGTTACTTTAATGTGATGAGATAAATGCACAGGAGGGTAAAAGACACTATCCAGACAGCAGGTTCACACACTTCATTCATTATGTGTCTGTTCTTATTCCAGATCGCTTTACAGTGTACAGTGCTAAGAAGCTCAGACAAGCGTGGAATAAGTAAGTTCTGACCTTTCTCGTGTGTGTGTGTGTGTGTGTGTGTGTGTGTGTGTAGTATGCCAGAGAATTGATGTTTGTGCCCATATTGTTATATCCAGAATGGGATACTGTAACTGACTCACTTTTACCATCATTGCTGTCTTAAAAGTCAAATTCCCATGTGAACTCACTCTTCTCACACTTTGTACAGCTCACATGTTCTTCCACTGACTCCCAGCCTTCCTGCAGAGTTCACGTAAGACACCACTCTGCGACATCCGATGTATATGGTAGAAAACTGGCAGGGTGGCACAGTCTGGGGTGTCTACTAGAAGTGTGCCACTGTTTGCCCTTGGCTTACATCTGGAGGGGAGACAACAGAGAGGCAAGGGGAGCATGTCTCACTTCCACAGGGAAGTGAATCCCAGGCCGAGAATCGTAGAGCCTTTAGTTGAGAAGATTGAGAGTTTTGATGTTATCCTTTGAATGGAGTCATTTGATCAATATACCTGAATTAAAGAGTGTTCTTCCTGAGCAAGTACATTGCTTCTGATTAAATTAATCTAACAATAAAGTAGCTGCTGTTAGTAATGGTAAAAAGCATTAGAATCACAATCAGGGATTATCACCAAGTAGGTTTACACATAGAAGGAATTTGCTGTGGTGTGTTTTTGCAAGCAGCAATATAAAATGATTAATAATAATAACAATAGAAAAAGGACTGTGCAATATGTTGTAAACACTAGAAAGGGATTGTGCAGTATGGTAGATATTTGAAGTCCGTGCAGTACTGTTATTATTATTATGTTATATAAGTTCACATTGACAGCTGGGGACTTTTTAGATCATTTCTTTTGCACAAAAACTTCAATGCACTGACTTGTGTTTACCAATCAGCCACTACATTAAAACTGGCTCAACAGTATTTCAATGTTGTGGCAGATGACGACATTCATACTCTCCTGCAATAACTAACAATTAATTTATAATTCAACAACTGAAAATTACTCAACAATTATAGTAGCCTGACTCACTGGATTCAGACTGGTTAAAAGCCTGGTGTTTATTTTTGGAAGCAATTGAACTCTAATAAGAAGACATTCTGTTCTTGTGTACAAGCACGTCAGTGGTACATTGCTGTCTTGCAGCAGCAGAAAGCGATTTTTGCTTTTACCAACAGATACCTTAGTACCATTAGTTTCATTCGTTAAAGGCTCAATTTTATTTATTTATTATAATTACATGTGGCTACAGCGACGGGTGCACAACCGAGCACGCAGAGATGATCCAATCATCAAACCTTTTCCTCTGCAGAGAAGTGTTTTTTCTTTTTAGCTTGAAAATGTGCCCTTATAATATTAATCCACCAGGGTGCAAGAGCACCTGGCTCTTACAGAGAATGGAGGATGATTGGTTTTGTGCACGTTATGCCCAAAACACGGCTGTGATTCATTCAGTGACTCAATGCAACCCTCATGCACCATGCACCTGGTAACAGCAACTTCCACATTTAAACTAAAAAACAAAAGTGGATCTGGACACGTGCTTAATTCAGCCGCTCCATGAACTTTGGACCCTGAGCTTAGATCTTCAGAGCTGTGTGATGGTGCTTTGATCTAACAAACATGTCACTTTCCGCAGAGGTGAGGGGACAATACAGGCAGCTTGTTCTGCCTCACCTCTGCCTGGTCCTGTTTGTGGTATGAAGGAGCGCTGGCCATGCACCAGTGAGGAAGGAATGCTTTCCTCTGCAGTGAATGTGTCATCACCTGGAGCTGTCTGATAGGTTCAGTAGATACCATCCATCTTACCGCAGATGTGCTCTTATTCGCTAAAGCTCGCTGACCACAAAGGCAGCTCGGAATGTGCACACACTGCACCAACAGCTTTTAAAGACCAACATGCTCATCTCAACGTGATCTCACACCTGCACTTATTTAGACGCCATGCCAATTCATCCACAGAAAGATTTATATTTATCTTAGACTTTCCTCTAGTGCTGTTGAGACGAAGAGGAGATAATATCTTCTTTGATTTTGGAACATTCATGTTTCCCAGCAGATGATTCCTTCCTTCATGGATACTTGATGCAAACATGTCGTCAAAAGACTTTTGTCAGTGAGTCAAAGTGTCATTGGCCTTAACTGCAGTGTTTTTGCTTTAGTGCAGGGATGGGGAACATTATACTTGCAATTTTAATCTTTCCTATTTTCAGTATTGTTTCTATAGTAGTGACTTTTTTTTATTGATATAAAGAACTTTGTGATTTTGTGAAAGTTGCCATACAAATAAACTTTACCTATGCTATACTGTGTCACACTAACCCAAAGCAATGGCTGGAACTGTTTCTCTTTGGCGACTGATGTCAGATGGTAGTGATGATGATGAGGAGGAGGAGGAGGATGCAAAAACACCTGACATTTGTTATGTCTATTTTTCCATCACAGGCCAGAAGGAACCAAGGGATTGCCTGTTGTGTTTTTCCATGTTTTTTTAAAATCTTGCACCATATCAGTATTTTTTCTGTGAAGGTTTTTCAAGACAAACTCCAAATCTAGTGGTAGAACACCAGAAAACTTGTCAATGTCAATTGGAATGTCAGTGAGGATACCTCTCAAAAGTACAATTTAAGATTTAATTGCAGTAACAGATTCATAGTGATCTTTTAAAGTTAACTGTTCTCAGTCTCTTGCGTTCGGTCAACAATTGGTCAGACTGAACCAACTCAGCGTGGTCCATTTTCCAACTGAATCATTTCACACCCGCTAGTTTGTCTTTAAACTTTGTGGTGGAGTTTCACAGAATATTCCAGCCGAATGAGAGAGAGAGAGGCGAGAGGAGGCCCTGATTGACTTTGTTAACTTTATCCCTGCCTCTTTGCTGAGTGGCGTTGTTGAGTTGAACTGAGATTTATCCTCCCTCTGTCTCTTTGCTGATAAGTTGAGTTGAGATCCCTATTGAGAGCCATGGGAGTGTCTGTCAGAGAGCTTGACTAGGGAGCCAGCCATGAGAAGCCTGCAGAACATGAGAAGCACTGTGAGTGCTCTGCGCAGCGGGCCGGCGAGCTGCGCTGAATAACATCATGTTTATTTAATGCAGTGGATGCCTAATTACTGACTGAATTTGTTGCTCTTCCTTTTTTCAGTCTTTTTCCCCCTCAGCACTGCTAGGTAGGGCTGGTTCAGGAGTTCAGTGACTCCCAGAACAAATGCACTTCACACACACACATGGACACACACACACACACACACACACACACACACACACACTCACTCATGTTCACTTAGAGTTTGCTCATGTCTTGGTTCCTTCTTTAATGAACACCTTTTGTTTCTCATGGTGACCTAGTCATCAAACTCAAGAGAGAGAGGTGTAACCGTGTGTGTGTGTGTGCGTGCGTGTGCGTGTGTGCGCGCACGTGTGCTCCTTTGTATGTGTGTGTGAGAAGTGTTTTTCCTCTTGAGTCAGCAAACGCAGAACATAATTAAAAAGCATGTTTTTTTGTTGTCAGCAGCTCTGTGAATTGGAGAGAATAATTTGTTTCCTCAGAGGGATGAATGAATGGAAAGAAGGTTATTTTATATTATATTTGGATGAAAGGGAAGCGGCTAGTTCCTTGGGTCACACTCGGTTTAAAGCCTGTAAGACTGATAGGCATGAGTGTGTGTGTGTCTGATGGGTGTATACTGTGTTACTGTATGTATATACTGTACATGTGTCTGTGGTCATCTGATGAAGTGTGGTGGTGTGTGGCAGGTTGGGTTACGTGGACCATGCTGAGGAGTTGGCCTCCAGATTCCTCCAGTGCTTCCCAAAGAACCGCCTGTCAGCCCAGGCAGCGTTGAACCACGAATACTTCAGTAACCTTCCACCACGGCTCTGGGAGCTGCAGGACAGTAAGTAACCCAGCACACTGGACACTGTCACTCTAACACCACCTGTCTGTGCTGACAAGTTGTAAAGCCAGGTAGCGCTTTTTTTCTTCTTGATCGTAACGTTTTTTTTGCAGGTATCTGGACGTGAGAAACTCGAAATGCAAATAATCCCTCACATATGATGCTATGTGAAGATTGATGGTGCTGTATTCAAAATAGTGTTCAAGGTTCAAAGGTCCACCTCACGTAGGGGTCGACCCAGGGGAACAAAAGGGGGGTTGAAAGTGAAGGACTCTGTATGAGGCCGAGGCCGGTTCATGCTGTTCTTTTTTTAACAGCAGTTAGTAACTCTAGGTGGGATCGCTGATCTGACCCACTCATCATCACACTCATCAGATGAAGCAGCAGCAGTGGATGTGACACATGAGCTCACACATCCTCATTCTCTGAGTCATAACTTTTTCAAAAATTCAAGAAACATGAAACGCAGATTTTTAGACTCAAACACAATTTACCCTTCTGAAACGTCACTGTCCTCCTTTGTTACCAGCAACATTTATAAATCTACTTAGTAATCATAAAATAGGTACTTTATTACTGCAGAACTTATTGTGATGGTTGTCTGTACATAAATAGAATTGTATATTGGTTAAAGAATTAAAGAATATAGATTGCTTTGCACTTTACAACATCTTTTTTGTAACTTAGGTTTAAGTTAGGTTTAATGATTTATTTTAATAGCAAGTAGATAGAAAACAGCTGATGCTTAATAACATAATTAAACATTAAGTAAGCATAAGTTAACAAGGTATCTTAACGCAAACGGGTTAGCCTCCTGGTTTAAGATGATACAACAAAAATGCTGCGACATCAGCACCTTCTTTGACACAGAGTGAGTTTAGATTGATTAAATATTCTAATGATCAAAGACTGTGACCTCACAGAACGTGTTTCAGCCTCACAAACCAAACCTTGAGGGAAACCTTCAAATTTGACAGAAACGTCCACTCGGACTCAAAGATAAAGTTATTAGAATGTGCAGGTCAAAGTGAACATGTTGTGATTTATGAGGAATGCCTGATAGGAATTTCATTACATTCGGCACAAACTTCGACTCAAGTAATTAAACCTAACCTAAAATTTGGATGTCAAAGGTAAAAGGTCACTGCCTCATGAATGTGTTACCTCCAGAATGCCTTGAGGATTTTAGTTTTCAAATATTACACAAATCTTCAGTATATGTCTCCAAAATGACCTGATTAGAATTTATATTAAAAAGGTCAAGGTCACTGTGACCCCACAACACACATTTGTGAATATAACTCAAGAACGTGCACGTTATGACGACAATAACACCTTTTAATAAATTCCTTCATAGTCTTCACTGTATATATTAGAAGAGTCTGGACTGAAATTTGACTGTAAGGCGGAGACATATAATTCTATTCTTGCTCTCTTTCTCCCACTCTCTCTCCTCTTCTTGCTTTGACTCCCCCTCTCTCCTTTGTGTTTTTTTGAGCTCCCTCAGCTTCACTGGATCTTACAGCATCCTCCTCCTCCTCTCTCTCTCTCTCTCTCCCTCTCCATCTCTCTCTGTAAAGGAGGCAGCGAGCAGTGACCTGGGGTTGGCTTGTTTTTGTTCACGCAGAGAAAGCCTGTCTTATTATGTGGATGCCGGTGGGACAGTGGGCTCAGCCGCTGCAACATGCTCAGTTTGATTTTCTATCTTCCTGAGTTGTTGTTTGCCCAGAGCTACAGCACACTGAGGCATTCTTTAAATAAGAGCCCCGACTCAAAAAAAAAAAAAAGCACAGTACCTTAGAAACACCCATCTTAGCTTTCAACATCTTCACTTTAGAAGCACATTGGTATTAATAGTGGTTTCTCAGTGTACATTTTGGTTGTGCAGAGGCTTTAGCCACAACTCTACAGTACAGCTGTATTTCAATTAATGCTACAGAATTGGGTTATTACATGACAGCATGTCAGAGATGACTGCATATCCATATCATTTGACAGGCAACACATACATACATAACCAATCCCTTAAGCTGTTATTCATTAGTGGAGTGAAAAGCCCGCTCAGAAGACCTGAGTGTGCTGCCACTGACATGGTGGTAATTTTAATGGGAGAATTCCATTTTTAATTCCCCCCGATTAGGATTTTTCAGCATTATTAATCCTGTTATCAGCACCCAGCAGGTTGTCATGTCTGAAAGCGGCGGTCACTGAGAGAGAGGGGGAAAAAAGAGAGATGGCTCATTCTGATTCTTGTCATGCTCGCTCGCTCTCTTTTTCCCTCCCTGCTCTCTTTATCTCTCTCTCTCTCTCTGACTCTCTCCTTTCGGCATGCACATGTGACACAGCAGCAGAATCACTGAGGGGAGAATGGGAGGGAATTAAAAAAAGTTTCCTGAAATGAGGACAAGAGTGGATAAACATAAAGTATCCTCCATTCCCTCTGTGTGTGTGTGTGTGTGTGTGTGTGTGTGTGTGTGTGTGTGTGTGTGTGTGTGCGTGCGTGCGTGCGTGCGTGCGTGTGTGCCGCTTGCAAACGAGTGTCAAAATGATGCAAAGAGAGATATGAATGTGAGATAAAGAACTGGATAATTACTCCAGTTGTATTTGGCTACAACCACAGCATAGTAATCAGGTTCCTGCAGCAGTAAAGACTGGGGCCAAAGGGAAAAACGCTCAGTAACAGCACACTGCTCTTTAGTTAACTCACCCAGTAGTTGAATACATAATATATTATATGTACTTTCCAGTTAATGTTCCTTTATCCGTATAGCAATGACCAAAGTGTTGTCTGCGGCCCACTGTGCACTCTATTGTCATGTGTATCGTGGATTTATCCAGACAATACCCAGACAGATTACAGGGAACAATGACAGAATTACTGAGACAATAGAGCTCCTGAGGTTGCTGTTGCTGTGAGGGTTGGATTGTGACATTTCTAATTTGATTTCAGTGAGAGTGTGTGTGGGTGTCTGGCAGTGGAAAAAGTGAGAGCGAGGGCCTCGGAAAAGAAAAGCCCCTCCTGCTTCTCTGGACTCGGAGAGAGATTTATGTGCATTATGGAAGTGGAACAAAGTGTTTAGACAGAGCAGTTCTCCTCCAGTTCTCTTGGCAAAACCCACTGCCTTAACTTCCAAACTAGAGAAGAGGCTGTGCCCCTTTCAGAACAGAGTGTGTGAATCCATTTGCCCCAACTGACATTTGTGATTTGCTAAGTAAACAGCTTTATATCCTCATTGTTTCACTGGTTCTGGTAGTTGTGAGTCTAAACTACCATTTCTTATCTGTTTATTGTTCTAACTTTATAAGAAAACAAAGGTCTTCCAATATGTTGTCTTGGTTTTAAATATGACAATACCCATTGAGGGTGTGCTTCTCTCCTTTATAAGACAAGATAATTTTTCATAAGCTGATACAATGCACATATGCCCTGAGCACAGAGACTTGGTCAGACAATAAAGGTGTGGCTACTGCATCTTAGTCTGTCCTGATTCTGCCCTCTTCTTTTCCTTGTGTTTGGATTTGTATTCTGTTTGTTTGTTTGCACTCTGTTTACTCCGTTTCCTGTTTTATTTTGAAAATGTGCTCCTTGTGTGTCCTGTTTCCCATCCTTGTGATCATCTGCACCTGTTCCTGATGTGTCTGTGTACATGAGCTTTTCCCCGTGGTTGGTTCTGGTTGCCTTCTTTAATTTACCTGTTGTTTATTTGCTGATTGCTGTTTGACCGTAGGACTGTTTCATCTTGTTTATTTTCCACGTTAAATTATCGATCAACAACCAATCTTCCATGCCTGCATTTGGTTCCTCTTAGGGCAGCTGCACACTAGAAGATTTCCAACTCTTGACCAACCACAGACATGATGACAGATTTAACCAAAGATTTCATTCTGTTTTGGGAATATTTCACACAGAAAGGTTGAATAATGCATTTTTTGTTGTGCCAATTTCTTTGCAACTTAAAGTGGTTCTTACATTTGGCACCATGGAGGAGAAAAAATACACTTGTCTGAATTTATATCAGGTCCAACCATTCAGCATCTCCTGCCTCTAAGATCTGCTGCTCTGACTGTTCAAATTATGATTGTTTCAGCAATATCTTAATGTTACATGTAGCAATCTCAAATAACTACTTATGACAAAAATATTGCAAGACTTTTGAATAACGATCTCTATATTTAACAGCTCACTTGAATATGTCAGCGTACTCTCTCCTGATCCGCCTGCGTCTTCTCCCCCTGCAGTGTCTTCTATCTTCACTGTACCAAATGTCAAGCTGCAGACAGAGAGCGGGGACAGCATACAGGTGTGTGCACGGAGGAACAGTCATGGAAAAGCATCCTCTGGCAGCAAACACTGACCTGAGGCAGTATCCTGCACATGACTGCCTGACAGGTATGTGTTCATTATCATGCACGAAGCACACACAAACACTATGCAGCTGCAGCAGCTCTGTGCACACACAGAGAAAATGAAACAAGCAGCAAACCTGAGGTGAAAATGTAATGAACTGAAATGTTGACTGGTTCAGTACAACAAAGTTACTGCAGACTGTTACTGCTTGAAATCAATATAAGTTAAGTCTTTTGTTACTCTGCACCAACATAGCAGCACAAGCAGGGGGTTGTCTCCACCCCTGTTTGTCCGTGTGTGTGTGGACAGATTTATACTTAAGTTAGTGGGAGTTTGTCTCCAGATCTTTAACCTTAAGCTCAAGGTCAACAAAAATATGGTCCCCCTTTTCTTTTTTTACGATACATATAGAGACAGTCTAAGTCCTGTGGGTGGCTGTGGTGAGGTAGAGCTGGTCATGCAAGGTCGGTGGTTCTATCCCCATCCCCCAAGGCAAGATCACAAAATTCCCTTATAATGACATTGTATGATTATTTATTATCACAGTGAAGTCAAAATTACGTCATACAAAGTTAAAAAATCAATATTTCCAGGCATCTGTGCATCCGATGGGGACTTTCTCAACCAAAAAGATTAGAGGCATGATCTACAGCTTGTACAAATACAAAATAATTTCACTATGAAGTTAATGCCAACATGATTTAAGGCTTTTTAAGATTAAGCCTCATCATCAAACCCCCAATCATTTGACATCTGCTATAATTGCAACTCAAACTTGATCTTGGAAGGCAGTTTTAAAATTATTTCTAACTTCTCATGTGTTTGTGTTTTGTTGGTGGAAAGCAGCTTTTATTGGAAAATGAGACATTCCCATATTAATATAAAAAAGCTTGGAGTAACATCAACCACCAATTTGTGCAAAGCTTGTTTGTAGATTTCCTCCAACTGTAACGTGCTGCTGAGCAAAATGTTGATTGATTTAGAAACATGTTGTTTTAAAAAGTACAAATTTGTATTAAAAAGCGCAAAACCACAAAACCGAGAAAACAGAACTTACAATACATATTAAATGTTTGGAAACATTCATGTTGCACTATACACCAGGAATGTACTTTTGTTCATTAGCTGTGTAAAGTATTCATGTTGAGCACTGTGCCCAGCACTTATCTGCATCCCACCAACCACCACAGTGTTTCTTTAAACACTGACGCCATGAGATCTGTGCTTTCTGCACTGAGGCAGAGAATGCAATAATAAATGGAGGAATGGCTTTAAGTGGGTGAGGAGGGTGTCCCATTCAATAGAGGCGGGGGTCTCATTCACTGCTCACATAAAGCAGCACTATTTGCATGTAATAAGAGGTGCAGAGGCCATGCATGGTGACAATGGCTGATCTAATGATGGACTCTGGATTGTGAGGGCCACTGTGGGGCCACAACACGGCGCTGAGGACCAGATTATATCTATAATTACTGACAGGTGCAGAGCCACAGCAGACACGTCAGCTCTTCACACAGAGATCTGCAGCTTTTTAAACTATGTCCTGATGTTTCATCTACAAAGTCTGCATGCATCGGCCACAAGGAGGAGGTGGAGGTGGAATACCCTGTATCTACTATTCTACTGAATATGTTGAAGTGGGTGGCTCTGTGTGTGTGTGTGTTTGTGTGTGTGTGTGTGTGTGTGTTTGTGGTTGTGGGTGAGGGTGGAAGTCACCCCACTGGGAGAGATGTGTCCTCTCAGCTGCTGCATTTAAATTGAAATCAGTCTCTTTGTCCAGGCCCGTCCCAGAGCCTGACAGACTGTGAGAGCTTCACTGATATCAGCCTAATCCCCGTGCACACATTCACTTTAATACACTGACAAATTGCACCAACACACACACACCAACACTATGACTGATTTTGACAATAACAATGCCTCCAATGAGAAATGGATGTGAGAACAGGGCGACAGTGTGAGAGATGGGAATCTGGAGAGAAGGATCAGCTGAATTTACGGAGCTTTATAGTGAGTTTTAGTTAAGACCATGACTTTACTGTCCACTACCTGCTGAGCATCAGCCAGAGATGAGCTAATGAACACAGTGGAGCATTTAGCAGCATCAAATTCTAGATATTTTATCAGAAAGACGTTAATTATTGCTGGACACAAGTAAATGTTGGACCCTCACTTTCACCACATGGACTAACACCTCTCCCTAAATAAATGAAAATATTGTGGCAATAAGAAGCCGTTTGCTAAGTTCATCACATACACTTAAAAGGTGTTCAAAGCTGACACATTTTTTTTATTGCAGGTTTAACCAAACATTAATTTTGCTTTAGTTGCCTGAAACTGAAATTGGAGGAAAACAAACCAAATCCATTTGCAGATACTGTGCATTCATAAAAAAACATTTTACCTATTTTGTTGTTAAAAATTATATTCAGGTGGCATCTACATGTTCTAATCTATTTGTCCCAGTTAGTGCTGTGATGCTCTGCTCTTATTACATATTTTACCAACACAACTCAGATTTGTGTCGGCCATAAAATAGACAAACTACACCATTGGAAATATTAGGAATCGGGGCTAAAACAGACAGTTTTAAAAACAGTCCGTGAAAATGTCTGCAAATATCCTCACAATAATTCAGTTATTTTTGATTAGAATAAGAAGGAGTAGAATCACCAGAGAGAGAAGGCCGAGACGTGCTTCCATCCCTCCTCTCATCTCTCTGCTATTTTTCCTATAGTCAGCACCACAAGCGCAATGCATGATGGTATATATTGTTTTGCTAGTGACTATTGGTTGTATACTACTTTTCACAATGCATCATGGGGATACAATGATTCAACTACATATAAAAATGTAACTAAACATTCAGCGCTACAAAATGGCAAATTCATTATGAAATGGACTATATAGTGATTAGTGATAGTTCAGTCTCAGCCTAGGTTAGTATCACTATTTTGACTAGCATTGTCACTAGAATTATATTAATCAAAATAGTGTTGCTATAGTTACCTATCAAACAAGATAAAGGACCTCTGAGAAGTGGTCCAGACTGCAGAGCTTCAGTTTTAAGTGTTTATATATTTTTAAAAAAGCCATAAGGAAAAAAGCATTTTCCTCAGCTCTCATGTAGCTTATATTAGATGAGCACCACAAAAAAATCACATTCACAATATTCAACTTAATGTGTGTAAGCCTGTTCTTAAAGCAGTGTTTTTCTGGTGTAGTAGAATTAGAGGTAAAGGAGGTGAGGAGAAAGGAAACAGAGGAGAGGGGGGTAGAGGGCAAGGGAATAAAGGAGGAATGGAAGCAGAGGCTTGCAGGAGCAGTGTAGGGTTTCTTTTTGTTGAGGCAACGTTGTATTATTTATAGGAGGTGGTGGAGGCAGGCTGCTTCAGACAGAGTAGAGCAAAGAAGGCGAGCAGCCCCTTTCTCTTTTGTGGGTCTATTCCCAGTGGGCAGACTTTGTGCTGGCTGGATGGCTGCCTTTGAGGAAACCCGGGCAGCTATTGAGCTGAGAGTGAAGGCTGGGCCTGACTCGCCCGCTCGGAGACACAGCAACACTGCAGCACGACAATGTCTGTCACTGCCGCGGCCAGAGAGGAAAAGAAAAGGATGCAGGGAGAGTGACAGAGGATGAGGGAATAGTGGGAGGGTATGATTTTGGCAGGGAGGGAAAAAAAGAAAGAAAGCAAGAAAGAGTGTTTTGTGGTGAGAGAAGAGAAAGCCAGAAAGAGATAGGAGGAGTGGATTGACAAAATGGAGGCAGGGTTGGAGAAGAAAGAGGCGGAAAGGGGGGAAAAAAGGCAGGTCTCCTTTACAGTACTGCGCCGCACTGATCTATGTTTATTCATGATTATGCATTATTCACAAGATTAGCTGAGGCAACTCTTTGCCGAGGGTAGGCAACGGTCCCCCCCCCCACCACCCCGTCAATCCTCTCAATGACCACACAGTTCAACTGTGAGTCACAACAACAAGTGGGAGCCTGCTGCCCTGTCTGAGAGCATCAGCACAGTGCACTGATACTCTGTATGACAGCGTGCTCACAGTCAGAATACATAACGACGCATCAAACATTGATTCAATCAGGGAGCAACAAGCAACGCGAAGGAGGTAAAATCAACAGCTCAGCTCCTCGGTCCAAACAAGAATTCACTTGGTTGTATTTTGAAAGCAAATTTTCAGAGGCTCAAAACACTACTGCACCTCATTCACTGATATTGAAGATATATTTGTATAATTGTGTAATTCTGTCTTCTCTGGTGTCTTATAATAATAGATTTAGGTTGTTGTTGTTCAGCTGTGTCTCAATTCAGGGCTGCATCTTTCAGAGCACTAGGTCTATGAAGGGGATGGTGTTCGTGAGCAGGGTAGTCCATGATGGCCCATCTGAAATGAGACGGTCTGATCTTCAGAGGATTTCCGTGGTCGGTGTCATCAGCCTGTCCTTCCTTTACTGCTGTTGCCTAGCAACAAAGCTGAAATTGGACACGATGAGAAAGTTTTAATGCCGTTTGGTTTTTTTAACATGTGTATCGTTAGCTGTTTAAGTTTAAGCATGATACTCCAGCATCAGATCTCTTGGGACTTCCCGGCACCATAACCTCTTTAAAAAATGCTTCGTCATTGAAATACAATGAATTCTGGGATGGGTTCGGCCAGGAGGAATCCACCCGTCGCATTTATTGGCCGCAGTTAAAGGAGACTTCAAAATGGGACAGTCTAGTTGGGCCGCCGTGACACAATTTGTCCCTGAATTGAGACACAGCTAATATCTTCATATGACCATACGGTCAAATGAGTACATGTAATAGTGGAAGAGTTGCTCATCATGACAAAGCCCGAAAGAATTAACGTCCAATCCTGCTTCTTCAGCTCTGCAGAGCGTTTCAGCTTATTTCAGCCGATTGTTTTGGTTTTAAAGCAGCTTAACTGTTGTTTTTCTGCAGTGTTGGTGGAGGAGCTAAAAGAAGACAGGACTTAGATTCATTATGTTTCCATAAACATGTGTCCAAATAGATGGTAATATTGTACATAGTCTG